AGGCAGGGCCGGTCTGGGGGCTTGGGAGGGTGCGGCGCCTGTCCCACCCGACAGGGTGGGAGGGCTTCTAGGCCTGTCGGTGGTGGCGTCCCCTCGTTAGATCCGCCTAGTTTGTTTCTCAACTTTGCGGGTAGACGTTCTCCCTCTCTATCACGGGAAGTTTTCTCCTGGTCCTGCAGTTTTCAGGTTTTTTAACTGCCCTTAACGGGTGCGCAAGAAGCATTCAGGGGAAAAAAACCCCAAACAACAAACCCAACTAAAGCCTAGGTCAGTAGCGTGTAGGCTAGGTACTTCCTTAGAGGAAGCCCGTACTGTGGGAGATGCCTCTGTGTTTGCGAAGGGGCTGTATTTGAACACTGTAGCTGCTAAAGGATGATTTACCCAGATCCGCGCTTCTGTGAGGTAGTGGTTACATGCAGTAAAATTATCAGGGGAAAGATAATTTTTACTCTTTTAAAGTTCATACCTAGTGAACTACATACTACATCCTACATAATCAGTCAAGCTAATGCTTAAGCATGCGTAGTTGAAAAAGTTTGAGCTCAAAAGTGAGTTATAAACAGTTTGGGACTGTATGAAGCTTCAGTTGATGTGACTTGGAATGCTTGTTGCTGCCTTGCCTGAAAATTCTAGATGTGTGAAACAATAGTAATCAAAGTTTTAGTTTTTTTGTATGAGCTCATTGAATGTTTGTATGCTCTTGTCTGTGTAGTTTATGTAGACAAAAATGTACAGGTTTTAGGCCCACATCAGAAGTCATGAAGTGTTGCCAAAACCAGTAGTGGCAGAGTCTTGACCTGCTTTGAGTGATCTCTAGTTTACAGGAAGTTAGTGGGCTTTTTTTCCTCTTTCAGTAAGTTTGGTAGAAGGTATTGGGAATTTTAGTTTCACAAACCTACACATGACTGGAAAGAAATCTGGTGTTCTGTTACAACTGACAGTTATTAGAAATCTCCCTTTGCAACTTATACTTTGGGAAACTGGGAAAGGAAGCATGGCTCTACATCTGTAAGTTTAAACTGTGTTATGTTCTAGTTGCCTGTTTTTCAGAAGTGCAAAGAAGAGCTCTTGTGTTGTAGTTGGAAAGTGCATTAAAATATCACTCATCAATATGGCTATCATAACTTTTTAATTTTTTTTATGCTACTATTTTTATTGGGGGAAAAAAATGCAAGGTTTTGGTTAGGGAGCTGCAGGGTTGACCTTTGTGGGCACAGGTGATGAACTGCCCAGTACTGGTGGTAGGTGCGTCCAGCTGTCGCTGACACTGATGAAAACAGCCCATCACACACCAAAATTTCGAACAGAAGATCTCTTGAATTTTAAATGCACTTAACAAAGAGCAGTACCCCCCAGAGGCAGGAGACACAAAAGGATGCCCAGGAAGAGGAGGAGTTACGTGATGAGATGTGCATTGAGATAGTAGAGAAAGAAATCACTATGCTCTGACTCAAACATCCCACATTTCCCATTGCCTCCCTGAAGTGAGAGACCGAGAGTGGAATCCACACAGAAAACAAGGGAAGCTGGTAGTAGGAAGGCAGGAGACCAGGCTGTCATTGGCACAGGGTCATTCATGGCCCCCACACCGGTCACCCCTGCAGCAACCCCCTCACTTCTGAAACCCTGGCATTTATGCCCAATGCACTACCTTAAAGTGGGTTTTGGAAAAAAAAAAGGATATTATGCCACTAATTTGTCATAACAGCAACTTTTTTTCTGTCCCCCGCAGAAGAATATACTAGTTGAAAAGGACGTAAAGATGGACAAAGATGGTCTCACTGATCTCTATGTTCAACATGCCATTCCCCTGCCTCAGCGTGACTTACCAAAAAGTAGATGGGGGAAAATGATGGAAAAGAAAAGGCAGCAAAATGAGTTGAAAAGTGAAAATAAAAGGTAATTTAGCTTTTATTGGGCTAGACTTGGAAAATTTAGGACAATGCATTTAGCTTAATCTTTGTTTGCTTGATTAATGACTCTTGTACAGCTTTTGAACACTGTTACAGTTTACAGAGGATGCTATGTCAGGTCTCCTGTGTCAGAAGTGCTAGATTCTACTACTGCAACACCAGGAAAAAGGACAAGATAGTGGTTTTTTTGTCATCCAAATGTTATTAATGGTATCTAGCTTATAGTGCTTCTTTTTATAGAATCATAGAATGGTTTGGGTTGGAAGGAACCTTTAAAGGCCATCTGATGCAATGTCCTTGCAATGATCAGGGACATCTTCAACTCTATCAGGTTGCTAAAAGCCCTAGCTGACCTGACCTTGAATCTTTCCAGGGATGGGACGTCTATAACCTCTCTGAGCAATCATCTTTCTTATTAGCCTCCAGAGCTGGATGAAGTATTCCAGGTGGCACCTCATGAGAGCAGAGCAGAGGGGCAGAATCACCTCTCTTGACCTGCTGGTTGTGCTGTTTTTGATGTAGCCAAGGATGTGATTGGTTGGAAGCACACATTGCTGGCTCACGTCCAGCTTTTCATCCACCGGTACTCCCAAGTCCAGAGAAGGGCAATGAAGCTGATGAAGGGTCTGGAGAAAAAGTCCTATGAGAAGTGGCTGAGGGAACTGGGGTTTTTCAGTCTGGAGAAAAGGAGGCTCAGGGGAGACCTTATTGTTCTCCACAACTACCTGGAAGGAGGTTGGAGCAAGGTGGGGGTCAGTCTCTTCTCCCAAGTAACAAGTGATAGGACAGGAGGACACGGTCTCAAGTTGCACCAGAATTTCTTCACTGAAAGGGTTGTCAAGCATTGGAACAGACTGCCCAGGGAAGTGGAGTCACCATCCCTGGAGGTACTTAAAAGATGGGGAGATGTGGCACTTAAGGACATGGTTTAGTGGTGGAGTTGGCAGTGTTAGGTTATTGGTTGGACTCGATGATCTTAAGGGTCTTTTCCTAAATGATTCTATGATTCTAAGTCCTTCTCTGCAGGGCTGCTCTCAATCCCTTCATCCCATCCCCCAGCCTCTGTTCATTCTGGGTTATTGGTACATTTCAAAATAATTTATAATGAAGGAAAAGTGATTAATTTTTGTTTTGCTTTATAATTGCTAAATAATAATAATGTTTGCACTGTTTAAGAAAAGTACCAAAAGCATGTTTGTTTATGCTTGCTCCCTGGACAGGGTTGGTCTACTCTAGACTCAGGGGTGTATGCTGCAGCAGTTTTGTGGGTCCAGTTCAGAACTAACGTCTACTTTCTGAAAGAAACATTCTGCCTTGTTTTTTGAAATGTTTCTGTTTGTATTTGGTCAGAAAGCAAAATCTTCCTCAAAAGTTTTATTTTACTGCATCTAATCTCCTCCTGACCTTCCTCCTGCCCAAGACTTAGATGGTGACATGAGATGCAAATGGTCGGCGTTCTGATGTAGCTTCAGCAGTAAATGCTGAAGGAAAGGTGGATGGAAATTCTCATAATTTTGCTGTATTACAACTTTTTGATTTCATGAATCTGTTTTAGCTTTGCTGGGGTTTCTAAATGGGAAGAGCTAAACAAATTCTGTCAAGTTATTTTTTCAAAAATAATTAAAATTTTTAGCAGTGGCTGAGTTATCTTGTTATATTAGGGGTTTTTTTAGTATGTTTATAAAAGGTTATAGCTCCTCGATTTGTTTACAACTTGAGGATGAAATCATGAGGTTAGTGTTTAAATAATAAAAAACTTGATGTGCTGAAATAGGTGTAAAAGATTTTTTTTTTAATCAAAGAAATAAGGATAGCAGGCTGGATGCTTTTGAGAGAAGGAGGCAATGCTAACTTCTAGATGGAAGAATGGCTTCATCCAGAGTTCATATGTACAATAAGTTTAAGGGCTTTTATATTGGTATAATAAAATTCAGTAATGGTTAAACCGATGCAGTATTTGCATAAAATAGTAAGTAAAAGGGCATATGTTTAATCTACCAGTCTGCTTTTGTTGCTCTTAGCATCTAGCGTACTAGGCTTAGTCTTTTGCTCTATTTGTTAAGATTTTCCAGCAGTTACTGGTTTTGCTTGTATTGCATCTTTCATACGTAACAAATATGCTGGCAAAATACTATCCTGACAAGTTAACCTTTTACTGCTAGTATTACTAACCCCAGAGAAACGGGAGAAATAAACTTTCAGCAAGTAAAGGTTGCACAGAGCAAACTTCAGTTTTAGTATATTCATGGGAAGAATCAAGGAAGTTTAAGCATCTGAAATACTGCACTTTTCCTCGCAGTTGTGTGCAGCACTGAAGCAGAACTGGTGCGATGCCATTGTGCAGAGGAAGAAGTTGAACTTGACATTCTTGTTTTTAAAAACAAAACAAAATTCCTAGGTATTGTGAGGCTGTAAGTTATGTGCAAGTCAGAGGTGGGAACTCAGCGTGCTGTTGGTTTGGTTTAGATAGTCAGATAAACTGATTGATCATATGAGCAACAGGAGCTTTCTGATGAGTTCCTGTGGGAAAGCACAGCTTTACAACGTGTGCTGGAATTATGATGAGGCTTGGAGACTTGATCAGCATAGCTCAGTGTGTGTTTGCATTCCTCTAGGAGTTACAGATAGGAGTTAAAAACACACTGAAATGTGAAAGTCAGCATTGAATATCGTGCTTAGTTTTACTGCTGGTGATTGGTGGCATATCCTAAAAGACTTGCTGTATATCAGCTGAGCTGCAGTAATGTATTATACCTCAACAGTACAATCAAATATCTGAGGTCACAGGTGATGGTTTATACATCTTATTACTGAGTATTCAAGCTTGCAGAAAAATCACACCAAATAAAAACAAATGTAGTCTTATCCAAGTTCAAACATTTCAGAAAGTATTTGTGTTCGGGGATAGTTAATTTTGTAGATCTATACGATCATATTGCCTGCTGGAAGAAAGAGGATGGTACGAATCTCAGCATGTATGCATGTAATTTCTGAAGTGCCACTGAGTCTGAAGGCTCTCACTTGCAAACTCTTAATTCCCAGGAGTACTGTGGCTTTGCATGCTCAGAGCTGTGGCATTGGTAGAGGTCATCATTTCTCCTCAGTCAGCTGAGAGGCTGCTTCGGCGTCCTCTGAAAAGTGCTAATGCAGTGGTAGTATTTGGTTTAGTGTAAAACGTCGTACTTCTGACCAGTTTCAGACAGAGGTGATCACCTGCCTGTTTTGGTAACAGAGGTTGGGAGCTAAAATATACACTTCTCTCTGCTTGTATGCTGCTACCTTAAGTACCAGGCTAAGGTAGACAATAGTAGCATTTTTCATTAAATTGTCCTCATAATCAGGAGTTGCTCAGAGGCCATCCTGACAACATGAGTAATCATGTGAAACAGTGGAAACAGATTGCTTATGTAGAGAAGCTTTTGCTTCCTCTGCTAAATCTTGTATTCTTTACTATGTGCTACAGAGTAAACAGCAGGATTAGATGAAATTAGATTGGATTTTCATTACATGCCCTCTGTCCAACCCAGACCAAAGTGTGTCTAGAACATTTCTTTGGGGTGTAGGATGTGCAGATTGAAATGTAGGTTTCATAGAGTGTCCTGCAGGAGGGTACACAATCCCAAATTGGTTCTTTTCAGCTGTTAGCTAGCGTCAATGTCCTCCCTCAGAAGGGTGCTGGCTAACATGAGTCCTGCTCTGGAGTTTTTAAGCTGCCTATACTTAACATAGAGGGAGCGAATGTCACACCCGAGGTTTTGTGTTCTGTGAGCCATGTATCTAAAAATTAGAAATGACAATTCTTGGCGGTACAGCAGCCAAATTTCTTTTGGAACTTTCCCAAAGTGTTTCCCTGGGTGTGTTATCTGCATTATAGCATGTGGTCATTTGTACAAATGCTATAGATGTAAAATTCAGTTTAGAATAGATAACAGGTCTCCTCAAATGAGTTATTTCCTGATTTGCCAGTCCTCAGCAAGCTGAATAAAAGAAATAAATCTCCTTAGGGAATGCAGACTTCTTATGCTGAGGAAGGTGACTGAAAAAAGGTATACATTTTTTTTCTTTTACATAGTTAGTAAATTAGGTTTCCAAAAAGGCTGCTGGGGAATGTGTTCCTTGTCAGGAGTGTTGACTAAATTCTTGGACAAAGCCAAAGTGAGCAAAAAGTATCATGTTTTATTTTTGAAGCGTGTGTCAGCTTTTTAGACTTTCCAAATGAAATTATACTTCTTAGTTTAATGGATCTGTTAAATACTACTGTCGTTTCAGTAGTATTTAACTGAAACAACATGCCTGGCTGAACACTCCCAGTTTTGGAAGCTATAATCTCATTTTATAGAAGCTGTCCTAGAAAAACAGCGTCTACTGTAGATACAAGCCAAAAAGTTGTGCCTAATCTCTTGAAAAACAAGTCTCAAATGAATTGAAGGTCTCTCTTTCTCTCTATCAGTTTCAGGAACCCAATGAATAGAAAAAGAGGAGGATTATGTGGCATGTGGTGTTGTGAACAGATAGTAATGGAGAAGCAAATCTGAATAAGAGCTGAACTTTTTCTTGCTCTATGAGCTCTTAAATTGTGACTCCTTTTTTGTTTGGTTGGTTTTTGTTTGGTTTTTTGTTTTGTTTTGTTTTTTTTTTTAGAGAATCCCCTGGTCTAGACAGAAATTGTTCAAGCTATGCGTAATTTCTTAGTATGTGAGGTTTATCAGCAGCTACTAATCTAATATTGTTCCAAGTCAAATGAATAGAGTCTATGCTTGCGGCTTATTTTAAACTCAGCAGTGTCAAACTCATGAATTACAAATTAATGAATATATTTCATTGTTGAAAACACTAGTGTTCAATTTTTATTCCTCTGTTTCTTATGAGGTATTAAACAGTAAGTGTGTACTGAAAGCTGACATTTCTAAATAGGAGTATTATGTAGCTTAATGGTGGTTTGTTTTTTAAAAAATTGTTAAATCTGTGCTTTCCATATACTTTGTCATTCTTGAGCAATGCTTTTTTAAAACTCTGTGTAGACTGAGCTATGATAACTTTGCGCTTTATTTCTTGGCAGTCAAGATGTTTTCTGATACTACTGCTTTGATAATATCTTGATAATATCCTTTTTCATGTATCAGTTGTTACTAAATTGGCCAGCTCTGACTGACTACACATGGGCTTCATGGCACAAATTATTTTAAAAATAGGATTTTTTTGCTTAATGCTTCATTGTCTAACAGTCTTTTAGACTACCTTAACATTATGATTTTAAATGAGAGTGGAAACAGGGAGACTTAGAAGCATCAGAATATTAGGTGTTGTTCTTGTAGGTAAGGTGACTCCCATTGTCTCAAATATTCACCTTTTGAAATACATAACAGCTATTCTCTCTTTAGTTACTCTGGAATAGCTGCAGTGGTATGAGCTTATAGTCTTTGGTTGTACAACTGTAATTGTCTGCCTAGAAAGTTACTCCCACAACCCTCTGCTGAGGAACCCTGTTCCTTACACAATCCCATGTCCCCCTCTTCTGTTTATATTTTGGAAGCCATTTCTGTTGCCTAAACTTGAAGCTGCTAAGAGCTTAAGGTTAGTGTTTTGGGATATATTTTTACTTTAGGCAAAATTGAATTAATTTTCATGACTCACATCTTAAATATGCTATTTTTGGACCATCTAGCTTCTGTTTCTGAGAATGTTACAATTTGTATTTTCAGTGTTACAACGGTGGAAGGTTTAAGGAAACGGCCATTAATTGTATTTGATGGCAATTCAACAAGTACCAGTATAAAGGTGAAGAAGACAGAGAACAGAGCTGCTGATCGCCTAAAACCTCCTCCAGCTGGAAGCACCACCAACACTGTTAGAAGATTATCCGTTCCATCAAATGCCTCAACATACATTTCAGCCTCCAGTTTATCAGAGGACGCTAAGCCAGGAATAAGGAATAATGAGGCTAAGCAGAACAGTATTTCAAAGACTAACAGCAATGTGCTGGCTAGTCTGAAGGTGTACCCTTTGTCTCCAGTAGCAGGAACTACTGTTGTGAAGTTAAAGAGAACTGTTCCAAAAGAAGAATCTGATTTGCCGGTATGTACGTTCGGTATTTGGTTTTGCAGCTTTTTTTTTTTTAATTGAAGTTTGCAGGAGCCAAAGATAGACCCTTGTAAGAGCTTTCAGAATTAATTTACTGTGAAGTAATAGTACAGTCTTTATTTAGAAACAAGGAAAAGAGTTGCTGGTTTGGGAAAGATTAGAAGGGAAGAAATTAAGTACTTTGTACTTGTCCATGGGAAACTTCTGTGTGAAGAGGCAGCTTTGTAGAAAATGTGTGTAATTTTAAAATGAGTAAGTAGGTAATACTTCAGGTGGTGCCAGTAGCAGTTGAATAAAACACAAACAAAATAACCCTACTGGTAGGTCTGAGAGGAGAACAGGTATTATAGAGCAATGTGAACAGCCCTAAAGGGAGGACAAGTGGTCTGTTTTCTGCAGTCGGGAAGAAAAAAATGGAATTATTATTATTGTAACAATCACACTTGAATGGTTGAGTAGGGCAAGCTTTCATTTTTCAAAGTGAAGGAAGAGATGTTACAGGAACTGAATTGAGATGCTGAGAGCTGTAGAATATATCCTTAGAGGAAGAACTCCATCTGTTTTAAATCTCATATAGGAATTGTAAAGCTAGAGGAAGAAACTGGATGTGAAAATGTGGAGAGCTGCCTAGATTGTGGGTCTGAATGAGAAACCTTAGTAACAAACCATACTGGCTGAAGTGAGAGGCCAAAGGTTGAGTGCTTACTTTGATCTTAATCAGGTATCTGGGTTTCTATAAGATGACGATAAAGACATGCTGAGATCTTGAACAGTAGGGTGCTGTTCTTAAGTAGAAGACTGACTGAGATGTTAACAATAAAGATAAATAGTTCTCTTCTTTCCACAAGTTAGATTCAGTGGTGTCATGGTTTAACCTGAGCCAGCAACTAAGCCCCATGCAGCCACTTGCTTACTCCCTCTGCAGTGGGGTGAGGGAGAGAATTGGAAGAGTAAAAGTGAGAAAACTCAGGGGTTGAGATAAAGACAGTTAATTAGGTAAAGCAAAAGCCATGCATGTAAGCAAAGCAAAACAAGCACTTCATCTACTATGTCCCATCAGCAGGCAGGTGTTCAGTCATCTCCAGGAAGGCAGGGCTTCACCAGGTGTAATGGTGATGTGGAAGACAAATGCCATTGATATGAACATCTCTCCCTTCTCTCAGTTTTATATGCTGAGCGTGACATCCCTGTGGTATGGGATATCCCTTTGGTCAGTTGGGGTCAGATGTCCTATCTGTGTCTGTCCCCCATCCCCCTTCTTAGGCACCCCCAACCTACTCACAGGTGAGGTGGTGTGAAAAGCAGAAAAGGCCTTGACTCTGTGTAAGCACTGCTTCACAATAACGAAAACACCCCTGTGTTATCAACATTGTTTTCGGTGCAAACCCAAAACATAGCCCCATACTGGCTACTATGAGGAAAATTAACTCTCTTCCAGCCAGAACCAGCACAAGCTGCAAGCACGTTTTCTGTGGAGAAGAGAACTGCACTACAGGTGGGGGCAGAATAAGGCTGATGAGCTGAAGTGATGAGAGAAGAGCTAAGGCAGGATAT